CGTATACATATAAAAAAAAACGTGTAAATAAAGAGGAAAATCAACGATGGATCTTTTGGCTACTTTTATAATGCGCATTTTGTTAAAAAAAAATTAATTTTGATAATTCTTATTATCTTCTATCATCAACGAACTTGCTAATTACCAACATTTCACCTTGCGTTCCTCGTAGTAGGCGAACGGGTGATATTTCGATTCGGTGGACGCGTTAAGCTTGAAACAATCGCATAGCATTGCCATATTTATCCAAGGCAACGAATGACCACAGCCCCATTTGCAGATCGTAAAGATAATAGAGACGCATCGTAGCCATTCTGTGTCATCAATAATCCAGCACCGTAACGTGGCCTGCAATTTGCAGGACATTAGCACCGCGGTCAGATTTCGGTATTCTATGCTGCGAATGATGACTGATTTCGTTAATGTAGTGAATATACGTGCATCGCGCGCGGTTTCCGTGTCCTATTACGAGGTAGCCGAGAGATAAGACCACGAATAATATGATTTATATATTTTGCGATCTACGTGACTTTCAACCGCGATAAGTTAACGCGATAAAAGTTAAACCGTTTTTTCCAAAAATTTTCATCTTATTAACCTAAGAATTGATCGAGAATGTCTGCAGAAACTAAAAGAGAGAACTAAAAGTTGTTATTACATTGCTTAAAATTATCATTACTCAATTATCATTATCACCTTATAAATTTTTTAGTATATTTTTTGAAACTTGCCCGTTTTTCCTAAATAAAATAAATAAGATGAATGTAAAAAGGGGCTCGATAAAATTTAAAAAATTGCAATGTTATTTTTTGAATTCAATATTTATTACGGTATATTTTCGATTTTTAAATTAAACGTGTTGCGAATGTTTTAATATAACAAGTTTTATTATATATAAAAAGATTCATTATATGCATTTCGTTATTCGATATAAAACAGCAATTAATAAAGTGTAATAACTGATTTGATTCTGTGTATGTTCGTAGGCCTATTAGACGTGTTACCTGTTACATTACTAGACTCGGTAATTAGTCGTAAAAGCCTACTCAAAATTCTGCTACTGCGGAATATCACGGGTGTTATAACCAGATTCACACTCAATTAACACGCTCGCGCTTACGTTGCGCGCGACTCCGCGGCGAGGCGACATTATGGATTTTATCGCGGCGGCCGCTAATTGCCACTGAAATTTATCTGGCGCCTCCATATTCTACGGGATATTACTACAGCGCTGCAGTAGTACTCGAGATCATAACTTACCGTCCTAAATCAACACGCTGTTCTCCACGGCGCTAAAACGCGAGAGTGGTGTCTCGTTTGATTTTGCTGGCTAACTCGCTCGGTAACTCGCTAAATCAAGTACATTTGTTTAAGCTTTTTTTCATCCCTATGCAAAGTTCCAGATCCTATCGCTGCCAAAAAAATGTAAGGAAAAAACGCGAATCGCAATCGTAACGAAGACATTCGCGATATTAAGAGAGCTTTTCTCCTATCTTTAATTTTAAATATATTTAAGACAATAGTTTTTAAATGCGATATCACAATTTATGTAAATGCGTGATATATCGTTAATTAATTTTTTTTTATTTGTTAGAGCTAATGTAAAATTATAACATGAAAGCTAATGAAGGATATGAAAAAAAGTAGGTTTTTATGCAACGCCAATTTAGATGATAAAGATAGAACTTGAAAGAGATGTGAAAGATATGCATTGGCGCGACAGGAAATTGTATGTTGTATGCAAAGGAAATAGTGCGATAAGATACGGGAGGAAAGCAGTGGCCGTGTGAAAGAAAGAGAATGAGAAAAGGAAATAGAAGATGGAAATGCTAAGAGATAGAAAGTGATATGGTAAATGAAGGAGAAAAAATTTAAAGAAAAAGAGGACGAAAGGAAGGAACAAAGCGACGCGAAGCGAATGAGAAAATAAAAACTGGAAAGATTTCGGATTGGAGAAAATGAGAAAAGGGGAGCGAAGGGATAAGTTAGATTAGCTGAAACTATCTGCTGTAAGAAAAGGACGAAAGACACGAAGACTTGGCCGAGGAGCAGGCCGCTTACTCGCGCGCACAGATTAAGCATCTTAATCACCTACGAGCAAAACTGCAAATTGCGCACTCGGATGAAATGAAAATGGCACCAAGTATACGCACGCTCGTTTTTAAGAGAAGCACGACGCGTTTGAAACAAAAAGTTCAACGAGCTTGAAGCACAAGCGAGGAAAGGACGCGGAACTCATGAACGCGAAAGGGAAGGGTGAATGGTCATACAGAAAGGGTCGACTAAAAAGTCAAGACACAGGAGACATGCCCGGTGAATTGGGGACGCTTTGCGTGAGTGAAAATGGTACGAGTTACAAGGAGCTTAGCAAGAGTGCAGATAACTTTTTTTTTTATCAGCGATGTTTTAAGCATGCTGCCGTTTTAATCTCAGTTTTGCAGTTTTAACGGCAGCATTCTCTATGATTAAAAACGAGCTTGTTTCGAAACTATGCGATTGCATTAACAATCAAATTTCCTGCCGCGAGAACTTTGTTTCCTCTGTACACGCGGGTTTTTACTGTTGCGGCTGTTATTGTAATTTAAAGTTAATATTCATCAAACTTGTTGCAATGTTAAGTGTTATTCAATGAAAATGAAATATGAAAAATACCAGAAATTTTACAATTCTCTCTATTTTCCCGTTTTATTCCGTTTTCTGAACTTATCTTACGAACGAATTCTCGAGTTTTCATAAATTTGTAGAGTGAAAAAGGATAATATAAGTAAATCGACGCGAACGTACTTTGCTGATAGATAGGTTAATCTGCTTTTGTGCAATATTTTTTGTGTCGCCTTCATTATAGCAAGTCACAATCTCGTCTTTCTTAGTGTAGTTTATTTTGCTTAATAATGTGCGACTTTGCACGGATAGTTAGTGTATCGACGAAACTTTATATTTACAGAGATTTTATTTCTTGCAAAAAACATGCTGGTGCGGAAAATTTATTTCTGTTTTAGTTCCAACGTCAAAACAGCAAATCATTCCAAACGTTTATTCTCTCGAGACATATTAAAAATAACAAATTCAACAAAAAAAAACAATACGAGATACTGTAATACCTTGCGTTTCTTCTCTTTCAACGTGGCGAATAAAAATTGATTCAATGAAAATATTGTCATATACAATAATATGCAAAATAATAATGTCGACAGAATTTTGATAATTAAAAACATAAAAAAGAACAATTCGCAAACGATCCACAGCAATTTACAGATAATATACAGTTTCGATATTCTAATATTCACTGGCAATATTAAAATCAGTATAATTTCAATGAGTAGATTTTTGGATGTTACAGGAAAAATAAAATCCTCTAAAATTATTTATAATAATTTAAACACACAATTAATATTTATATATTAACGTCACTGCATACTATGCATACTATGCATGTAGTGATATTAATATATAAATATTAATTGTGTGTTTAAATGTTTATAATTTTAGAGGATTCTATTTTTTCTGCTTGTAACATCCAAAAATCTGCTCATTGAAATACTGATTTTATAATTTTTAATTTAATATATATATATATATATATATATATATTTATTTATTATTAATATATAAA